AACCAGGGATTGAACTCAGGCCCTTGCGCTTGCCAGGGAAGTGCTTATTCCACTGAGCCATCTCCCTGGCCCCCTATATTTTTTTTTCTTTTGTTTTGTAATTGAGCCAAGGGCCTTCACCCTGGACTACACCCCAAGCCCTTTTAGTATATGTGCTGCCGAAGAGAGCACACCCCAAGCCCTTTTATAAAAATCTTTACTTTAACACAAGACCCTACTACATTGCCCGGGCTGAGCTCAAAGTTGTGAACTTCCTGCCTCAGCCTCCCAGAGTGCTGGGATTATAGGCTGTGCCACCAGGCCCAGCTAGTCCCTTTCTTACCAGTGATTAATTTATATGGAATAACTAGAACCACAAATGAAAAGCGGAGACATTAGTGTCAACCTTAGAAGGCTGTCTGTGGAATGCAGCTGCTCTTGTGCTGATTGTCACATCTGCCTGCACACAGATGCTCGGTTAATACAGGCTGCAAGGAAGGAAGGCAGGAGGGAGGGAAGAAGGACAGCTGGGGAGTGGGTGACTGGACTGATGACTGGATGTATATGCATAGTTCAGTAAATGAATGGATGGATGGATGGATGGATGTGAACATGATGGATGATTGGATAGATAATTGGATGGATGGATGGATGGATGGACAACTGGATGGATGGGTGCATGGATACTTGGATGACTGGATAGATGGACAGGTGAATAAATGAATAGATAGATGGATAAGTGACTAGACTGTATGGATGGATGGATGGATGGATGTGAACATGATGGATGATTGGATAGATAATTGGATGGATGGATGGATGGATGGATGGATGATGGATGCATGGATGGATGGATGGACAACTGGATGGATGGGTGCATGGATACTTGGATGTCTGGATAGATGGATAAGTGAATAAATGAATAGATGGATGGATGGATGGATGGATGGATGGATTGATGGATGGATAGATGGGAGAGTGTGTGCATGTATGTATGGATGGATGTATGCATGGATGTATGCATGGATGATGGATGCATGGAGGGATGAGGGATGATGGATGGATGGATGGATGGATAGATGGAAGGATGGATGCATGGATAGATGCATGGAGGGATGAGGGATGATGGATGGATGGATGGATACTTGGATGACTGGATAGATGTACAGGCAAATAAATGAATAGATGGGTGAGTGACTAGACTGCATGGATGGATGGATGATGGATGCATGCATGCATGGATCAGTGGATGCATGGATGGATGGATGCACAGATGGATGGGTGGATGGACTGATGGATTGGTATCTTGCATTAAAAGAGCTCAGCTCAGCAATCACAATGCCCAGGCACAGAGCCCACCACCATGCAGCAGCTGCTGCTTCTGGGTGAGTCATTTAAGCTTCTTGAGTCAGTTTCTGCAGGATCCTAACAAGAGAGACAGGTGAAGTGTGCATGAAGTGGGGAGGAACACTTCTTCCCATCTCCTTTCCTTACCACTCTTAGCTCTGGGCCTTGGTCAGCTTTGGCCTAAGAGAGGAAGGGTATGGTTGCTATTGTGAAGCCACGTCACTTCTGAGTGAGGCAGAAGGATGGATGGGTCGGTGGGTGGATGGGTGGATGATGGATGGATGGATGGGTGGGTGCATGGATGATGGATGGGTGGGGGATGGGGGATGGATGGTGTATGGGCGGATGTTTAGGTGGCTAGAAGAAGCCGAGCAAAGGGTGACCCGGGACATTTAGACGCGATCTTACCTCTCTGACCCTCCTAAACCTGGCAGAGTAGGAAGGAAGGGAGGAAGGGGAAGGGCCTGGGAAAGCCCATGGAGAGTCCCCACTCACCCTCACAGACGCGGGTGTCCTGATGGAGGCGGTATCCAGGTGGGCACTCACACTGCAAGCTGCCAAAGGTGTTGACACACCTGCCTCCCTGGCACAGCCCTGGCAGCTCCCGGCACTCATCAATATCTGCCAGGAAGTGACCAAAGTGGAGTGTGGGGTTCAATTCATGCAGAAGGCATGGGCTGCTCTGGGCCTGCTTCGCTCCTTTGAGGACCCCCAAGTGTGATCCATGGGCATTTGGGGGGCTGTCTCAGAGGCTGAGTCCACACTCTCTCAGGTCAATGCAGCTTGAGTTCAAGTCCTTCCTTTTCATCCAGGGACCCATCCTCCCACCCCTGCAACTCCAAGATGGAATGTCTTCCCCGACCTCACGATCTCCGCAGGTAGGAGAAATCTTTCATCTAAATGAAAGATGTCTAGATAATGGTGGATGGAAGGACAGATGTACAGGCAGATGAGTAGAAGAGTAGGTGGTGTGGAGGTGAGTGGATAAAGGATGGAGATAGATGAATAGGTGGGTGCATGGAGAAAGGATGGGTGGATTGGTAATCAATGGATGGAGAGGTGAGTGGAAATGGACAGTAGACTAATCTGTGAACATATTGGTACATGGAAGGGTGAAGGTTGATGGATGCATGGGTGGATGGGTACCTGGGGAGTGAAAGCATGAACAGGAAGAGGAGGAGTGGGTGGAGAATGGACAGGTGGAAGAAGGATAGTTGGGAAATCAGTGGGTGGACAGGTGAATGGAGGCAGAATGGCTGGACAGATGGATGTAGGTGGACAAATGGAGGAGGCCAGAGGAGGGCAGACCAAAAAATGCAAGAAGATACAATTGAAAGAATAAATTGAAAACTCAACACAAACCAAGAGCACACTCTGTCTCTGCTGCCTGAGCCCCTGCTGGGAACACAGGTGTCACTCCCAGCTCCCCAGGATCCTCCCTTGGCACTCAGCGGAGGTGAGGAGGGGACAAGAAGAAAGGGGAGGGTGGGGGCTCGCCCAGGGCTCACCTTCCAGGATGACAGTGGTGGGGTTGGGATGGAAGCCTTCACCTCCTGGGCACAAAGTTCTGTACTCAGCTGTGAGGGAAAGGTTCCCGTGAGGGGCGGGAGAGGGGCGCCATGGAAAGGGTTCAAGATTGGAGGCTCTGCTGGCCCATTCCATCTGCTCATCTCTGTCCCCTCTTGGGGCCAGGAGCCCATCTCACTCAGGGCTGCCTGAGGGCTCAGTATCTCTGTGTGTGTGCGTGTGCACATGGGTGTGTACAAACACACGCTTACAGCCTCCATATGAGCAGATGGATTGTGATAGTGGTTTTGCACATGCATCGCTCACCTTATCCCTACTTTTTTTTTATTTTATGTATTTGGCACAGGGTCTCATTAGGCAAATCAGGCTCATAGTGATCCTCTTGTTCTCCGCCTCCCCAGCACTGGGAGTACAGGCATACGCCATCACGCCCAGTCTTGGTGATGGGCTCAGTGCACCCAGGGGCGGGGCCGGTGCAGCATGTGGTGAGGGGGATCAAACCCAGGTTCCTGCACTTTGCCTTAAGCAGACACTTAGTCTGCTGAGCTATCTCACCAGCCCTTTACTCCTACTTTCTAAGAAAACTCCTACTCATCCTTCAAAATCTCTCCTAAGCCTCCTCTTGTGGGAAACCTTCCCTTCCCCTTCTTCTCCATGGCTTCTTCCCGGACCATCACTAAGCTGTAAACAGCCCCGTAAGACAGCTGAACTCTCGCAGCAGCTGTGGCTCACCTTTCTCTGGGTCCCCAGCCCGTAGCACAAGAAAGGCGGCCCTCAGTGTTCACTGACTGAACAATTAGTGCGAATGCAGAGGACAGGGACCACAGAGAGGCCTGGCCCATGTGCTGTCACATGGGCTGTGCGACCAGGTGGTCTCTCTCTCCCGGGTTCTGCGTCCCTGTTCCCTGGGGCCCTCTGCCCGCAGAACTAGTCCCTCGCTCCCCGGGGCCCAGCGCTGGCTCTGTGGAGGGACTCACTGGAGTTGGCCACAGGGCACAGCTCACAGGGACGGCCCCAAGCCCGGCCCAGGGAGCAGCAGCAGGAGGCTCGGGTGACGCCAACTCCGACCTCTGCGCCACAGGAGAGGCCGCCGTCCCCACGGTTGTGCGTGTCCAGGAAGCAGCTCCCGGCCCGGGGGTCTGCGCATGCGGAGAGCAGTGGTCAGCAAGTGTTGGAGCAGAAACTGTGTCCCTGATTCCACACGTGTGTAGCTGCCATCTCCACGTGCCAGCATGTGTGCACATGCTTCCGCGTGTAACTGTGGTCGCCACATTTCTTTTTTTGAAGTGTGTGTGTGTGTGTGTACTTAGTACAGGGTCTACAGGGTCTCACTACACAGATCGGACTCGCAGTGATCCTCCTGTTTTCAGCCTCCCAAGCGCTGGATTACAGGTGTGCGCCACCATGCCCAATCTCAGTCACCGCTGGGGTGGGGCCAGAATAGCGTGCGGGGTGGGGGTGGGGGTGGAGAGTGGGGGGAGGGGAGCAGGCGCTTTCTGGCCGGCCCTGGGCTCCACATTTTTGGGCATGTGCCTCTGTGTGTCTCTACATGTGCCCATGTCCGTGTAGGGCTGCTGGCTCCTGCTGTGGGTCTCTGTGTTTGTGTCATCTCTTGCAAGTTGTCAACTAGATGTGTGACTGCGTGTCTTTGTCCCTGTGTGTGCCTGCAACTAATGCACGTGTGTTTGTGCCTGTGACACGTGTGTGTGTGCCTGTGACACGTGCGTGTGTGTGGTGCATGAGTGTCCCAGGATGGGGCGAACCTGAAAACTGACTCAGGGCCAGGCAGGAAGCTGCGTGTGGCACCGCACAGCTGCGCATGTGCGTGGTTCTGCATCTGAGTTCACACAGAAGGCGACGGGACCATCACTAGCCAGCCAACCCACCACCCCAGGCCAGACTCACCCACGCAGCCCACCCCGCTGGGGTTCAGCTCGAAGTCCTGGGGGCAGCGGCAGAGGTAGCTCCCAGGGGTGTTGATGCAGAGGCCGCTGATGCACTTCGTGGGGTCTGCACACTCGTCCACGTCTGGGGATGCCAGTGCCACGGTCAGCGGGGAGCCCCCCTCCACCCTGCCCCTCGCTCCTGGGAGGCCACAGCCATTCTTGGGGTCTACCACTGGGTGCCTGGACTGTAAGACAAGGACATGTCCTGGCCTGGCCAGGGGGGAGGGCGCCTGCCTGTCATCCTAGCACTCTGAGAGGCCGAGGCAGGAGGATTGTGAATTCAAGCCCAGCCTGGAAACCTGGAGACTGAAAGAGTCTCTCTCTCTCTCTCTCTCTCTCTCTCTCTCTCTCTCTCTCTCCTTTATTGTTATGAGAGCCTATTTCAAAAAGAGATTGTGTCCTTCCACAGGAAGACACTGGAGGGGATGGGGCCTCTGGGATCCGCCCCAGCCTGCCCAACTCTGCCCTGTCCTAAGCCCCACAGACCCGCATGCATAGAGGTTCCCTTTGAAAACTCCCCACCCAGCCAGCATGCAAACCTCAGATTCAGAAGCTGCTTCCAAATGAGGGGGTGGTGGATTCCAATCTGCAGGACACACCAGCCCACTGCTCGTGTCAATAAAGTTTTTTTTTTTTTTTTTTTTTTTTTTTTCAGAACTGGGGATTGCACTCAGGCCCTTGCACTTGCCAGGGAAGCGCTTATTCTACTGAGCTATCTCCCCAGCCTCTGAATAAAGTTTTATTGGTACATGGCCCATTATTTACACACACTGCTTTCCAGGTACAGGGGCAATGCTTAGCCGTGGGCCACAAAGACTGTATGGCTTGCGATGCCAGAAAGATCGATCTTTCTTTCTTTCTTTCCTTCTTTCTTTCTTTCATGCAGGATCTCACTACACAGCTCAGACTCGTAGGCATCCTCCTGTTTTCAGCCCGCCTAGTGCTGGGGTTATGGGCGTGCACCACCACACCAGGACTCCATTGCCATCTCAAGGCGCCAAAGGGGCGAGTCGGCGTGGCATGTGGTGCCAAGGATCAAACCCTGGCCCCTGTGCTTACCTAAGCAAGTGCTTAGTCTGCCGAGCTATCTCATTGGCCCTCTTCCTTTCTCTTTGGGGACAGGATCTCTCTAACTGACTCAGGATGGCTTCCAACTTGTCATCCTCCTGCCTCAGCCTCCCAAAAGGCTGGGATTTCAGCCACAAGAACAGGAGTTCTTAGAGCGGTTCTGCTCCCTCCCAGCCAGCTCTGCTCTTATACTCATTTATTTATATTATTATTTTGCAGGCCTGGGGTTCACACCTAGCACCTTGCCCGGGCTTGGCAAGTGCTCTACTTCTGCTCACTGCTTTATTTATTTGTTTGTTTGTTTTGGTCCGGGGATCGAATTGGGGACCTTGCCCTTGCCAGGCAGGTGCTTAAGCCACAGAGCTATCTCCCTGGCTTTTTATTTTTCTAACACACAGGTGCTGCATTCATTTGGGGGCAGGCAGAGGCCAGCCTACAGCCAACTCCGCTCACCTGTGCAGTTGCCGCCCCCGTGGTCGAGTTCGTAGCCATCTGCGCATGTGCAGCGGAACAGCCCAGGCAGGTTCTGGCAGCTCCCAAAGGCGCAGACGTTCCCGAGAGCACACTCGTCCACATCTGCAGGAACCCGGTTCAGCATGCCCCACCGGCAGCATGCTCCCGGGAACTGCCCGCTCAGTCCTGGAGCTAAAGCCCCCGCCTCACCCTGGCATCCTCCGTGGTCTTCAGTGGGGCCGAAGCCCATCTCACATTCGCAGCGGTACCCACCAAGGACATTGAGGCACTGCCCGTTGTTACAGAGGGCCATGTCCTCGGCACATTCGTCCCTGTCTGAGGGGTAGGAGGAGGTGCCGTGACCAGAACCCTCCGCAGTCACTGAGGACTCCAGGCAAGGAGCCCTCCAGGAGCACGGACGAGTGACCAAGACAAGGACGGGGTGCAGAGAGTCATTCTGGATATGGGAGTCCAGCCAGGCAGCATAGGGGACCTGGGCACTGAGGTCAGGCATGCAGGGTAGCCAGAAAATATGCACATGTCGCAAGACACTTAAAGAGTCCAAGGAGCTGGGTGCAGTGACGCACACCTGTCATTTCAGCACTGGGAGAGGCCAAGGCAAGAGGATCTCAAGGCTGGGAAGAGAGCTCGATGTGGGGGTTCTGGATTCAATGCCCGGAACCAGAAAATAAATCAAAACTCTAATGGAGGAGGCTGTGCCCGAGTCTCATGGGTGGGCTAAGAATGACTCACAGCACCGGGGTGGCCTGCGGGTGAAGCTGGCACCATGAAGCTGGGCTCCTCCCACGCTTACCTTCACAGGAGAAGCCGTCCCCGGAGAATCCCTGGTGACAGGTACAGCCGTAGGAGCCGGGGACATTGATGCAGTCCGCACTCAGACTGCACCGATGGCCCTGACCAACACACTCATCCAGGTCTGCGGGAGGCGGAGCCCAGAGCATCAGGGTGCACGTTGCTGTGTGGCCGCCTGCCTCGCTCCCACCAACCCCCTCTGATTCCAGGCAATCCTCGCCCCGAACACTCACCCTCACATTCGAAGCCATCCCCTACCCAGCCTAGTTGGCACCTGCAGCTGAAGCTCCCGGGGAAATTGAAGCAGGTGGCGTGGCTGTCACAGTTGTGTCTCCCAAGTTCACATTCATCCACATCTTAAGGGAGGAGTGGTCATGGGGCAGTCTCAGAAAGGGATGGGGACACTTGGTGTGGTAGTAGCAGAGACCAGGGGCCTGGGAAGCCACCCCCTATCTTCACCCAGAGTCTAAGAGAACACCCCCAAACTGAAGGCCTGACTCCCCGTGGCCCTCAGAAATGACCTGGATGGCAGCATCAGAGACTCATGGCAGATGCTAAGAGTCAGGCATGGTTGTGCACACCGATAACCCCAGCACTCAGGAGGCTGAGGCAAGAGGAGTGTTGCAAGTTCAAGACCAGACTGGGCTGCAAAATCGAGCTCAATGTCAGCCTGAACTGCACAGTGAAACCCGGTCTCAACAGGCTCTTCTGCCTGGGGAAAAGCAGCTGGGACACTGAAGCTCTCTCTGCTGAGCTGTTTAAGGAGAGCCTCGGGGCACTCTATTCCCAGGAGGTCTTATTAGCAGGGAATCCGCAAGGATCTGTTCACACTCTGCTCTGCCCTGAGGCATGAGGACAGTCCCCAAGGGACAGTTCCAGTGACCCACAAGCTGCGCCATGGGCTTCCCGCTGCCTGCATCACCAACAGCTCACACCCCTGCTCACCCAAGCAGCCTACGGCCCCCTTCTCGGTGACATAGCCTAACTGGCAGTGGCAGACAAAGGATCCAGCTGTGTTCTCACAGTTGCCATGGAGACAGATGTGTGGGTTCAGCTCACACTCATTGACATCTGTGAAGGGAGCAGGGACCAGGCCTGAAGGCAGGCGCTGGGTGAGGGTGGAGGGAGCCCACGTGCTCTTGAGTGCCTGTTACTTGATCCCCTTCCTGTGAATTTCATCTCCAGGGAGAGAGAGAGCTCCATCCGAGTCTCCTGCAGGGCAGTTGTGGGTGTTCTGTGAGCATTTCATAGCACGCCGGCCATGGAACACGCCAGCCAGGCATTCTCCAGGGACTGCATGCTTGAATATATTTAGGGAACAAGTTCCACAAAGCTATTTTCTCCTTTGGTACCGGGAATCGAACTCAGGATCTTTGCTTGCCAGGCAGGTGCTGGGCTGCTGAGCTACACCCCGGCCCTGCAGAGCTACTTTCTTCTTGCGAGACTTTTCAGCCTCATGTCAGCATGGATTTCTAACAGGGGAATGGAGCAGAGGGTGCGGCCTGTTTGTTCCCAAGCCCCTTTCCAGGGTGCTCCTGAGGCGCCTGGGAGCTAGCACTCCTCCTGTGCAGGTCTGGCCTTGGTCAGGAGTTACACGGTTACCAGAGCGATACAATGGTATAGAAGCTACATAGTTCCAGGAGCTACACTGTTGCACAGATTACCTTGTCACTTCCCGGAGCTTTCTGAGCCTCACCTCAGCTCTGCTCTGACAGTTACCCCTCAGTCCCCAGGACGCCCCTTAGAGGAGCGAAGACAAGGCTGACTCTTCCAATAGCCTGAGAGGTTCCTCAAGCACGGCTCAGAAGCCAGGATTAACAGTGTCCACCTGTAATCTCAGTATGCTGCGGGGCTGAGGCAGGAGGATTGCAAGTTTGAGCCCCACCTGGACAATCTAAGGGCTTAGGAAGAGCTCATTGTGAAGGTCCTGGGTAAAGTCCACAGTACTGCAAGTACAATGAAACAACGAAAGAGCCCAGAAGGGCTCAGAGAACACAGTTCTGAGTCTTTCTTACCTTGTTCCCTCTCTCAAAAAACAAACAATACAAATCAACAGATCCTCCCCAATATACTCTTTCCCTGGCATCAATCTTTTTTTTTTTTTTTTTAATGTAGAACTGGGGATTGAACTCAGGCCCTTGCTCTTGCCAGGGAAGCGCTTATTCTACTGAGCTATCTCCCCGGCTCTGCTGAGTGCTGGACACACACGGAATATTCAGTAAAGGCATCCCAAATGACAGTGGGAAGCTCTGCTTTTTTTTTTTTTTTTTTTTTTTTTTTTTTTTCCGGAACCAGGGATTGAACTCAGGTCCTTGCGGGAAGTGCTTATTCCACTGAGCCATCTCCCCAGCCTCCTGTTGTTGTTTTTGAGACAAGGTCTTGTATTATATTCCAGGCTGGCTGTGAACTCACAATGGAGCCCAGGTGGCCTTGAACTCACGGTGATCCTCCTCCCTCAGCCTCCCGAGTACTGACAATACAGGTGTGCGCCACCGTGCCGGGCCTGGGGTTGGCTCTGCTCCTGTGAAACGGATCCCTGGGGCTTAAAGAGTGGGCTCTGGGTGCTGCTGGTCCCAACCTGACCACTAAACACTGCTACCCCCGTGGCAGGGGCAGGACCTCCTGCGGAAGGTGTGGGCGTCTTGTGCTGCCTCCTCCCCTGCAGCCCTGGCCTCTCACCGACACACAGCTTCAGGTCTGGTGTGGCCGCGAAGCCACCGTAGCACAGGCAGTGGTGACCTCCTGGCACGTTGCTACACTGCCCCGGGCCACAGATGTCCGGCTTGTCTTCACACTCATCCACATCTGGGGAGGAGGGATGGAGGGTGTTGCAGGCACACAAGGCTCTGGGGAGAGCCCTGGGAGGACTGGACAGGGAGGACCGCTAGGTTCGTCCTGCTCAGTCTACCCAGGCTCTGCGCTGGGGAGGGGTTAAGGTAAGGCTGCCAAGGGGGTCCGGACCCACCTGCGCACGCCCTCCCGTCGGGCAGCAGCGCGTAGCCCCGCCCACAGCCGCACCAGAAGCTGCCCTCCGTGTTAACGCATTGCACCGCACAGCCACCGTTTCGGACTTGACATTCATCAGTGTCTGCAGGAGTAGACAATGGCACTGGGCCGGGGCAGGGCGGGAGGCTGGCCCGCAGGGCTGCAGGGTTGCTCCAGGAAGGGGTGGGGGGGCGGGCGCAGCCTCACCCACGCAGGCCCTGCCGTCAGGCGCAACCTGGAAGCCGGTGTGACAGGAGCACTGGAAGGCACCGAGGACGTTGACGCACCGGCCATGCAGACACAGGCTGCTGCTCAGGGAGCACTCGTCCACGTCTGGGGACACATGGTGGCTCAGGGGCCGCACCCCACACCGCACACCCATGCACTGCGGCGCAGCGCCACCTCACCCACAGGCACACGCTCACACACACACACACACCCCTGGGAGACACACAACCACATACATGCACACCAGCTTGCATAATGACGCAGGTCCCAGACATACTCATCCTCGTGTAAATGTGCACCCACACCCCCATAGGACACTCACACCTGTGTCCTCAGTCACAGACACCTCACACTCACCCACATATCTCCGTATGAACACACATTCACACCTAAATACACACACACAGCCTCATGCACACCCAGATTCAGACGCAAAGCACCCGCTCACACGTGGATTCACCTGCCCACAGTGGGCGCGTTCTCACTTGGGGCACACTCACGGCCTCTCCTCTGCTCCTGAGGAGGCATACACCCCACACACCCATCCTGCACACTCACTCACTCCTGGGTAGACACACTTATACCCCCACAAACTCACTGATCTTTGTACTGCCACACTTACACACATGCATGTTCACAACCACACACTCCCCCCCCACACAAATACACATGTCCACCACTCATGCATGTGACCCCTTCACACACATATGCACACTGGCATATGTTCACAAGCTTGCACATTTGCTTTCCTGTTTCACACACACACACATACACGCACCACCATGCACGTGTGAACACCCACACACAAATACAGACACGGACCTGGGGCCCATCCTCAGAGAAACACACTAACACACTGCCAACATCTCGTACATCGCGACCGCCACACACTAACACAGTCACACCTGCATTCTCACCCTCACAGGCAGTGCCCTGGGCCGTCAGCTCGTGGCCAGGGGGACAGTGGCACACGTAGCTCCCATCTGTGTTGGTGCAGGTGCCTCCCCGGCAGAGTAGTGAGTCCCTTGCACACTCGTCCACGTCTGGGTGTGGAAAGACACAGCAGCTGGAGACCCTGGCCCAATGGACACCTGGCACCTGGACACTCCTCTGCCCTCACTCTGGCATGGGCCTGGGCTGCAGCCAGGGTGGCCCGGGGACTTGAGGCCAGGATGAGCCTCGTAGAATTGGGGCCAGGAGGCTGGTAGCCCTGGAGTCACTACAGGACGCTCAGAGAAGCCACCCCTTCCCTCGATGTGGCTGAGGCCCAGACTTGCACGCTGCCCCCCACCCCTACCCCAGGAGGACCTTTACATGTCATCTGTCAGCCTCTCCTCACCCTGTCCCCTCAGCCAACTCAGGGACCTCCCCAAGCTCCCCAGAGTGGATGCATCCACCAGGCGCATCTTCCCACTAGTTGTGTGGTCATTTTGCATCTCTCTGGTGCTTTATTTACTAACATCTGTTTCTCCACAAGCATCAGGAAAAAAAAAAAAAAAAAACGTTGCTCTTTGGGGTGGGGGTTGTACTGAGGATCAAGCCCAGGGCTGCTCTACAGCTGACCTACACTCCAGTCCTTTTCACATTCAATTTTGAGACAAGGTCTTGCTATGTTGCCTGTGCAGGACTCGAACTTGCAGAGGACCCCCCCCCCAGCTCAGCCCCCCAATGCTCCAGCATGACAGACCTGCACCACACACCCAGTCCAGTGCCCCAGTTCTGCCCTTAATAGCGCTCAGAGGGGCTGCCACACGACCACCTCTGCTCAGCGACATCCCTATCTGCTCCAGGCATCCTCTCCCTGTGGCAGCTCACCCACACAGCTCCTCATCTGCAGGGGGCCGCTGGCATAGCCACGGAAGCACTGGCACTTGAAGCCGCCCGGGGTGTTGATGCAGGTGCCCTGCCCGCAGAGGTCAGGGGAGATGCGACACTCATCAATGTCTGCAGGGACGAGGGCACAGGCCAAGGGACCGTTTGAGCACAGGGGAGGATGTGGCCGTGCCCATAGCCTGGCCGGCAGCCCCTCCACAGGAAGAGTGGCCCCTGGGCTCAGAGAGGGTCGTGCAGGCACAGACAGGAGTGACAGAGGTGGTGGGTGCCTGCACATGGCCTCTCTGGCAGAGGCGGGGTGGGTGCTCACCAGTGCAGCTCCTCTCCTGGGCATCCAAGGCGAAGCCGCTGGCACAGGAGCAGCGGAAGCTGCCCACTGAGTTGCGGCAGGTGCCATGGGTGCAGAGCCCTGGGAACGCCCTGCACTCGTTCACATCTGCGGCACAGGAGTTGGGTTTGCCCGGAGCCCAGTGGGCTCTCCTGAGCCTGCCTTCCCCCTTCTCACCTGCTCTGCTCCTCCCCGGTCTCCCTGCCCTCCCAGGGCACTGGTTGTAGGGCCCCTGCTTGGCAGCACCTTGGTAAAGGGGCCGGCCTGACAGGATGTCATGGCCAGAGAAGCCGGGCCCTCGGGGACACAGGCGGGTGAACTCCAGGGAGCCGGGCTCTGGGCACATCTTGCATGTGGCTCCCCATGCAGCACCCACGGAGCAGCAGCAGACGTCCATCTGGTGGGTGCCGGGCAGGGGGCCCCCACAGACACCCCCGTCCCACTGCAGGAAGCACAGCTCCAGCCTCATGTCTGCACAGAGGGACAGCACGGATCTGTCCCTGCCACACGCAGGCAGGTGTGGTGCTGGGGATCATGCAGGCAGGAGGTGGGGAGAGGGCAAAGGGGTGCCCAGAGTCCACGGCACCCCAAAGCAGTGCCCAACAATGACTAGCACTGCCTGGGTGCTTACTAGGTCCTCAGCTGTTCTGAGTCCCTCAATCCACTTCATCCTCCGAATAAAACAGGAGGGGGCTGGGGGTGGAGCTCAGGCCTCCGCAGCAGGAAGAGAGAAAGAGGGGCCTGGGAGATAGCTCAGTAGAATAAGCACTTCCCCAGCAAGCGCAAGGGTCTGAGTTCGATCCCCAGTTCCGCAAAAAAAAAAAAAAAAAAAAAGGAAGAGAGAAAGAAGAATAGAGGGAGGAGGAAAAAGGAAAGAAAAGGAAGGGGAAGGGAAGGGAGGGGAGGGAAGGGATAGAGGAGAGGGAAGGGAAGGGAAAGGAAGGACAGAATAAGACTGAGCACAAAAAGCAAAGAGGATAACGCTGCTGTCAGCCATTTTACAGGCCAGGCAACTGGATGGAGCACAAACAGGTAACTGCCCAAGGTAGCACAGTCCCAAGGGGTACAACTGGGGTCGAAACCACGTCGCCTGACTCTAGAGTCCTGCATTTAACCCGTGGATCCCTCAGAACAATCCAACAGCAGCCTTGTCTTCCTCCTCTCAGACACCATACAATCAGCCAATCACAGCCTCAGGGCTGGCTGCCTGCTTTGTTCTGTTGTGTTGTATGACAGGGTCTTGCTATGCAGATCAGGCTGCCCTTGAACTCACTATGTAGTCCAGGCTGGCCTTGAACTTGTAGAGATCCTCCTGCCTCAGCTCCCCACGTGCTGGGACAATAGGTGTGTGCCTGGCTGTTTTTGTAAATAAGGTTTTATTGGCACACACTCATGGCCACTCATCTATGGCTGCTTTGGGGCTAGAAGACTGAGTTGAATGGTCGCCTCAGAGGTTGTAGCCTGAGGAGACAATAATGTTTACGCTCTCTAACAGAGCCTGGTGGTGCAGGCTGGTAATCCCAGCATGCTGGGAGGCTGAGGCAGGAGGATTACAAGTTCAAGCCCAGCCGGGGCAATTTAGTGACTTAACAGGAAATTGCATTAAAATTTAAAAATCGGGTTGGAGAAGTAGCTCCGTGTGAAGCCCCTGGGTTCCATCCTGAGTCCCACAAAAGCACAACAAGAGAAAAAGTAAGGGGAGACCATACTAAGCAGGCACTGCGGATAGGACTTCAGGAGATGGTGGCGACCGAGATTCCTTCTCCCCTCGGAAAGGAAACGGTGGGTTCTCCGGGAGGCAGCAAGGGGCTCCCCCAGTCCCCCGGGCTCACCCACACACAGCCTGCCCGAGGTGTCCAGCGCCAGCCCGGGGGGGCACTCGCAGCGAAAGGAGCCATCGGTGTTGACGCAGCGCCCGCTCTGACACACGTCCGGGAAGGACTCGCACTCGTTCACATCTGCGGGGAGTCGGAAGCGTGGGGGGGCTCTGCCAGCTGTTCCTAGTTTGCCAGCTGGGAAGCCCTAAATGCCCTTGGGAAGGACCCAGGGACCGTGGCGGGGCCCCGCGGGATCTCCAGAAGCCTAGGGAATTTTATTTATTTATTTATTTATTTATTTGTTTGTTTGTTTGTTTGTTTATTTGTAGGCCAGGTGATCCTCTTGCCTCAGCCTCCCGAGCGCTGGGATGACAGGCGTGAGCTGCCACGCCCAGTTTAGACTGGGCCATCTTTCCACTGCGGAGCTCTGTGCTTTAGGTGCACCGGGCCCTGTGTGGGAAGCGGGCTCGGGAGAAAGAGGAAGGAGTTACCTTCGCAGGTGACACCCTTCGTGCGGGTGAAGCCACGTGCACACACGGGGTCTATAGTCGGGAGAAGAGGGACAGAGAGATGTCACTGTGTATGGCCGGCCCCCGCAGGTGCTCCAGGTAGCCATGCCCACGGTCCAGGGTCCGGGAGCCCCTCCTTAGCTGCAGGGCCTTACCCAGGTTGCAGCGCTGGCAGGGGCTCCCCCAGGCGGCCCCCAGAGTGGCGCAGCACTCCGACCGCAGAGAAGCTCCCTGGAGGATCACCTCGCAGTGCCCGTCCTGAATCTGCAGCCAGCAGGTCCCCTTGGTGCTATCTGGGAACAAGGCGAGGGGTCACCTGCTCACCCAGGTCCCGACCCGCAGGCTCTGGGCCTCCAAAGCCCCACTCACCTATGCACACGGTTCCAGAGGGCCCCAGCCGGCTCCCCGGGGCGCATGCGCAGGAGTAGGAGCCCGCCAGGTTCCGGCACACACCATTCACACACGGACTGGACACACACTCGTCGATGTCTGCGGGGACAGGCAGACCGCTCTGGGGGCCAGCCCTATCTGGCCAGGGCCCCTGCCCCCAGGGACAGCTGCACCCACCGGGTGCAAGCGCTGGAGAGAAACTGCCACGCCCTGGGAGAGACGGGTAAGAGTGTCGTGAGAGAAGGCATGGAGACTGGAAGTGACAGAGATGGGGAAAGGGGAAGAAAGAATTGAGTCGCAGTGCGTGAGCACAGCTCCGGGGAGGCCTGGGATCCTTACACAGCAAACACAGCCTGGTAAAAAAGACGGAGTGTGGGCAGGCGGGATAGCTCAGCAGACTAAAGCACCTGCCTAGGCACAGCACAGCAGCCTGGGTTCCATCCCCAGAGTGCCGAGCCGGCCCTGCCCCTGGGTACCCCGAGAGGGCGATTAAGACTGGGCGTGGTGGCGTGTGCCTGTAATCCCAGTGCTTGGGAGGCTGAAACCAGGATCACTATGAGTTCGATCTATGTAGTGAGACCCTGTAGACCCTGTACTAAACACATTAAAAATAAAAAATTTAAAAAACAGTATTTGCTGTGTGTGTTCTCTTACCCTCACACAGTTCAGACTACTTTAGTAGCAGACATTTTCAATTTTATATATGTCTTTAGTACAGGGTCTCACTACACAGATCAGACTTGTAGTGATCATCCTGTTTTCAATCTCCCTAGCACTGGGATTACAGGAGTGCACCACATGCCCAGTCTCGGTGCCTCAGCATGCCCAGAGGAGAGGCTGGGGCAGCACGGGGCACTGGGGATGGAACCTTGGTCCCTGCCCTTGCCTAAGCAGGCTCTTAGTCTGCTGATCAGTCTTGCTGGCCCACTAACAGGATTTGTTTCCATATTGTCCATTTCTCTCATACCACCTGGTACCCTTTAACTCTGTTATGACACTGGCTGCCTGGAGTTTAAATCAGACCCCACAAGTTAAGGAGCTAAGGATCAGGTCCTGGACTGTTTCGAGACGTGGTCTTTCTATCTAGTCCAGGCTGGCCTTGCACTTGCAGGGATCCTCCTGCCTCAGCCTCCCAAGTGCTGGGATTGCAGGCTTGCACCACACGTCTGATTTAAGGGTCCCGACTCCAGTTTCCCATTGCAAATCCAGGGCTCTGGAACTTCCAACAGAAGTCGGGGCCATAAACTGGGGCTCCCCACAATCCCTGGTTCACTTTTTAGAGTGGCTCACAGAACTCAGGAGCTGCTAGTGTTGAGGCTCGCTTTGAGTGCCCCCCAAAGCATCCTGTGCTCAGAGGTGGGGCTTGTCAGAGGTGGCCCAATCTAGGGCACGTGGTGCTGGGATGAAGGGCGCCCCACGGTGGGGACGGGTGGCACCAACCAAGAGGTGAGTGCCTCTCCTGGATAGAGGGGAGAGGGAGGCTCTTTGGGCTGTTTCAGTGCCTGTTACTTTCCGGTGTTGCCGCCTTCCACCCACCCTGCTTTGCTGTGAAGTGTCACTCCCCTGTGGCATCCCTCTGCCATGCACCACCTTGGCTTGGAGCCAGCTGATTATGGACCGAAACCTCTACAAACCACAAGCCGCAATAAACTTGCCTCCTTTTAATTTGGGATGTCATGTACTTTGCCTCAGCAATGAGAAAAGTAACTAAGACAACTATGTTATTGCAACAGATCTCGGGATGGGTACATAGGGGCATCGTTGAGTGGAAGACACGCGGAGGGACAAGAATGAAAGGGGACTGAGAGCTCAGCTCGCGGCCCAGGGAGATAGCTCAGCGGCATGCACACCCTGGACTCCACAGTCTAGGGGATCTTCTGGAAGCTTATAATTGGGCAAATCACATATTAACTTCATTGCTACAGCTTGGAGCAACTTCTCATTAGTGCCTGGCCCTTCTGCTAATGGGGTCCTATCCAGGAGCCACCAAGAGTCATCTTGTCAGGATGAAGATGGTCGTATGACCCAGGAAACTACAAGGGCTTATGAGCTTTCTGTCAGGACCTGGAGTTAGAGACCAGGCAACCAGAGACAGCTTGGGCTACAAAGTGAGCTCAAGGCCAGGCTGGGCTGCAGAGCGAGACCCTTTCTCAAAGAGATAAAAGAAAAAAAAAAAAAACAAAAAAAACAAGCAGCTCTCAGAACTGAAGGCCTCCCTACTGTCCTCGCTGCTCAGACTGCATGGCCCTTGGGAGCGTCTGCTGGGCCCGGGATGAAGGCCAGAGACACAGTTCTTCTTCTAAGTCCTGGTGTCAGAGCACCAGGCAGGAACACTGCTGTGAGGGGTGCAAGAGTGTGCAGCGTGCACCAGTGGCCCTCAAGGGAACCGTTGCTCAGACAGCACAAGAGTGACAGGTGGGGACAAAGCAGAGAAGGCAGCAGCCAGGGTGGGTGGGAGGCCAGCCCAGGCAGCCGGAAGCAGGGGACTGGGCCGTCCATGTACAGTGTGTGCGTGCACGTGTGCGCAGCACATGTGACATGCGTGTCTGTGTTCAGTAACGCAGCCTGCATGTCTGCGTGCGCATAGCTGTGGACACGCCGCAGGTGTAGATGTCTGTGTGCGCCACACAGGGCACGTGTCTGAGTGTACGTGTGCACATGCTATGCGCAGCACAGCGGATCTTGTGTACAGCACCAGTGTGCGCACATGTGGGCACTGTATGCCGCGACTATGTCAGGGCTGTGCCCACATGTGCGTGCACTGTAGCCAGTGTGCACAGCTAAGTGTGTGGACACATTGTACAACACTGAATGTCGTATCCAATCTTGTACGCAAGTGCACACAACAGGTGGTGTACACAATAGTGTGCACCATACAGTGTGCACATCAAGTGTCTGCATGTTCATGTGGGTGCATGCTACACATCCTATGCATGTTTGTGGCATGTGAGTGTGAATAAAGGCACACGTGGGCTTTTAGCATGCGTGTGCCTGTCCATGCACACATCGCCCATAGCATGTGTATCTAAGACTCGTGCGTGCACCCCATGTGTGTACACGCTGCCTTAAGTGTGCCAAGGGGCCCTACCTTCACACGTCTTGGTATCCTGCCTGAAGCTGAAGCCCTCGAGGCAGGAGCAGGAGTAGCTGCCAGGGCTGTTTCGGCATCGCCCGTTGTCACACAGGGAGGAGTTGCGGGCACACTCGTCCATGTCTGCGGGCAGCAGGACAGAGGGTGAGGGTCCCACCGTGGTAGCGGCCCCTCCTGAGCAGCCCTGCATGCTCACCAGTGCAGTCCTTGCCCGTGGCGCCTGCCTCGTAACCTGGGCCGCAGATGCACTGGTAACTGCCAGGAAGGTTCTCGCAGGCACCGTTGGTGCAGGCCTTGGGATTGAGGACACACTCGTCCACGTCTGCAGCAGGAGAGAGCCAGCAGTTGCCTGGGCTTTCCCGGGGTTTCCGCAGGCCAGCCCACACCCCAGGGCAGGGTCTAGCCTAAGCTGTGCCTTATTTCTCCCTAAATCAGGCTTTCTCAGCCTCAATCAGCTGACCCCGGGGCCACACCATTCTTGGCCACAGCGAAGGTCCTGTGTGATACTCAGTGTCAAGCAGCTGCCCAGCTTCTACCTACCAGATGCCGGAGGCAACCTCCCGTTTCTCCAGGCACTGTTAAAGGTCCCTGGGGCATGGACAGGGAGCTGTCCCCAGTTTGGAGCATATGGATATTTGTACTGCAGCCCCATAACATCATTACAGCCAGCCCTGAGCCTCCATGGCTAGCTCACCCAGGAATTCAGCCCAGGACGGAAAACACTCCTCCCCCACCGCACCTGCAATGAACACCTGCAACGAACACCTGCAGACCTGTATCTTGTAGGCGACACAGTGATACAGTGTAACAACGACTTACACAGCCTTTCTATCCTATCCGGTATCCTAAGCCCCTAGGGTTCCCGAAACCCTTGTCTCACGGGTACACGGGGATGACCACAGGGGTATCCCATGGCTACCATCCCAGCACTGCTCCTCCAGCCTGTCACACAGCAGCCCTAGCAATCAGATACAGCCCCCAGCTATGGCCTGCTGCTGCCCTTCCAGGTCACCGAAGCAGGGCGAGCTGGCTCCCAGCTGCAGGGGCCTCCTTTGCCCTGTGAAGCAGGTCCTGGCGCCACCCCACTTTATAGAGACAGAGGTCGGGGAGTCACTTGACCGAGGCCACTCAGCCAATGAGAAGTGAGGCCAGGGCTGAAACTGGGAGCCTGGCCCTAGCACAGGGAGGTCAGGTGTCTGCCCATCCAGGTGGCCCTTTGGTGGGTGGAAAACCCAGCTCTATTCCAGGTCTTTTCATTGCTGTTCATGCACAAAAGCTGTGCCTGGAGACATGTGGAGTGGATTCACATCTTTTTTTATTTGTATCTAATGTCTTTGTTCCTTGTGCAGAGTTGGCACGTACCACACTCTTTTCTCCTCCCCTCTGCTATCCTTCAATCTCCTCATCCCCTTTCCATTTGAGAAACAGCTACCACTCCACTTCCGATTGTCTCTTATTTATAACTTGGGTTTCATATGTGAGAAACCACGTGATGTGTAAGCTTGTATGTCTGATTTATTTCACTTAACATTTGATTTTTTTGTTTGTTTGATGTTGTTACTAGGGATCAAACTCAGGACCTTGCACTTGCCAAGCAGGCGCTTATGCCACTGAGCTATCCATTTGTACCCCAGGCTGGTCTCCAACCCTCAAGGATCCTCCTGCCTCAGCCTCCTGAGTGCAGGGATTACAGGTGTGGACCACCACACCTGGTGCTTCTAGCTTTAGCTTTTTGATGCGTCTCCACAGTGATTTCCACAGTGGCTGTACCAGTCTGCACTCCCACCAACAGCAGAGAAGGGCTCCTGTTTCCCACAGCACCCCCAGCATGGTCAGCGAACTAGTGACAGAGGTGAGACACCCACACAGGGCATTCATTTCCTGATTTCAACTCCATAGCAAAGGCCCTCGGCTGAGACCTGCTGGGCCTCGAGGGATCAAAGAGTGGGTTCAACAGAAACCTGGGAGGGAATCAGGGTGCAGCGCAGCTCTCCCTACCCTGTCTCTGCCTATTCCGGGTGCATTGTGGCCCTCCCCAATTCCTGGGTGGGAGGCCTGACCCTGAGGATCACTATGCGACAATATCAGGGGACAAATCATCAGTTTACAGTGAGGGCATTAGGCTGGAGTCCAATTACAAGAGACCGGTGTCCTTTAAGTAGGAAAATCTCTCCCTCTCTCTCTCTCTCTCTCTCTCTCTCTCTCTCTCTCTCTCTCACACACACACACACACACACACACACACACACACACGCTTGCATGCACGCACGAATGCACACAAAGTCTGCGCAAAGGCAGCAGAGAGGTGAAGAGATTTCTACGAGCCACACCCTGCCAAGGATGCTGGGGGGTGGGGAGAAGCGAGAGGAAAAGAAGCCTGCAATGGTTCCCCCTGACAGCCCTCTGAGGGAAGCAAGCAGCACAGCTGGTGTGGCGTCACCGTCTGTGACTGCCTGTGATCCCTGCGCTCGGGGAGGCTGAGGCAGGAGCACCGCAAACTCAAGCCCAGCCTGGGCCTCCTAGAGAAGCCTGGAAGCAGCCCTGTCCACACGTCGGTCTCGGACTCCCTTCCTCCGGAACTGTGTCGGAATAAAGGTCTGCTGCTGAAGGGGCTGGCCTGGGATTCGTACAGTTGCGGCAGTCCTAGCCAAGGGACACCGCTCCCAGCCACACCCGCCTCTGCCAGCCCTCAACCCCAAGGCCGCGCTTTGGAGGGGCCGGGTGCTGCGTATCTGACCGACTGTCCGCGGCGGTGCCGCAGTGCCCACTGAGGCAGAAAGCCTGGAACTCAGCTGCGGGAAAGAGGCCACAAAGGGATCAGGGTACCCCGCGGGAATCGCAGCCACTTCCCTTGCCGAACCACGTTGACCCAGGGCAAGTCCTGGGCTCAGACGCGGCCCCTGGCGTTCTCCACCTCCACCCACGACAGGCGCCCCACTCCCGGCCCCCAGCACGTGCCGCGCACGCGGGTGTCCACGCACACGCGGCGGTCGGTGCCGTGAGCCAGGCCGCCGGGCACGGGCAGCAGCAGCAGCAGCAGCCCTCAGTGCTGCAGCAGCGGCAGTGCCCGCAGATGCCCAGCGGCTGGCACTCAAGGTCTGGCACGAGGGGCGCCGCGGGGTTCAGGGTCCGCACCACCTGCGCCGCGCCTTCCCGCCTCCTGCGTCGGTCTCCTCCCGGACGTGCTCCAGCGTAGGAGCTGCCGCCTTTTCTCTCTTCCTACCCCCCTCCTTTCCCTCCCATCCGCCTCTCTCTCCATAGTTTGCTCCCTTCTTTCTCATTTGCTCCTCCTCTTCTCCTCCCTCCCTCTCTCCTCCCCACTCCTTTCTCATACTAACAGGTTTTTGGGGGCCAGCTCAGCGGCCCTCAGACGAGGCATGTGATCACGTGATGCCGGGAGTCAAACCGCGGTCCCCTGCGGCTGCCTAAGGCGCTTGTGACCCCTGAGCTATCTCGCCGGCCTCATACTAACAGTTTTTTGAGACAAGGTCTCACTGTGTAGCACTATGTGCGGGGCGCGTGCGATGAGGCCATGAGTAGGGCACCTGCACCCGCGCCCGCCCAGGCATGGTCACCAAGTCCGAGTGCGGCTGTGCCAGCCCAGGCCATGCCTTTGGGGCACCCTGTCAGCAGTGTCCCCGGGGAACTCAGGTGAGCCCTGGTGTGTCCTGCACTCTCAGCTTCTGGGGTGGAAAAGAATACGGGGCTTGGCTGTCCTGGGTGGCCTCTAACCGACAGCAATCCTCCTGCCTCAGCCTCCCAGCGCAGGGATGACAGCCCTGTGTCACTGTGCCCAGCTCCACCCCTCTCTCCCTGTCACCTCTAACTTCAGCCTCTGGCCACACACACAGTGGCCTCACACACATAGTGGCAGCTGCCAGGCACCAGCAGGAAGGCAGGACCGCAGAGACACGTGAAGCTGCCATCCTCGTTGAGACAGATAACATTGGGACACACAGAATCAGCAGCACATTCATGCTAGTCTGGGGATACCAGGGAGGAGGAGGCTAGGTCCATGCAGGAAGCCCAGCCCTTCCAGACCAGGGCCCACAACCCAAGTCTGGGCCCCTGAAGAACCCTTCCCTGGGGTGGGACCCTCTTACAGTTGCCTGTGCAGTTGTTTCTCGGTATCTTTATTTTTTTTTATTTTTTTATTTTTTTAAATGTATTGATGACTTTAATAACTTAATCTAGGTACCTTTAGAGAACAGGGTCCAGGAACCCTTGGATAGCAAAATCTGCAGATGCTCAAATACCTTACAGAACATGTGCCTTGGCGTAGCACTACACAATCCTCCTTCCAATACTTTTTTTCCCAAGACAGTGTCTCATTATTCCAGGCTGACCTTGAGTTCACTACCTAGCCCAGGCTGGTCTTGAACTCAAGGTGATCTTCCTGCCTCAGCCTCCTGAATGTCGGGATGACACGTGTGCATCGTCCTGCTGGGCAACCAGGCCTTAAATCATTTGCAAAGGACTTAGAAGACTTCAAACAAATTCTAGAGGGGAGCTTGTTCCTGTTCCCGGCTGTGCGGAGGCAGTTGATGTGTCTGTGAGCCCCAAAGTTAGGACTTTGCTTCACACCCTGGAGGCCACCCCCGGCGGCTCCACAGCTGTCATCACACCACAACATGCATCCTGCGCTGCACCTCAGTGCTGCAGGTACCGTTTGGATCACCACAAGAAAAGAAGAAGGAAAGTTGAGAGGCTTGTAAATGCTCAAAGAAGGGAAAACAAACAATGGGCCGGAAGGCTACGCTCTACCACAAACAGCACCATGGGGAGAAAAAGCAGAGAAAGAAGACTATCAAGCTGCATGAAAAATGAAACACGGAACACCAAATACCAAGCACCAGCACCTGCCTACCTGCTGTGCAGAGCGGGTCAGTCTCTCGAGAAGCACTTTCCAGCAGGATAAAACAACGAAAAGAAAAGGCGGGAAAGTGGGAAGCCCCTCGGCTCAAAGTTCAGCCCAGGGAGAAGCACAAGTATTAAAAATTATTCAAACTGGAAAGTGAATAAAGGCAGGGAGGAGGATTCCTGGAGTCTGCTCTGTTGGGGATGCCTTTACAAGAAAAGTATTCAGTAGGAAGGCTTGTCAGGCCAGTGGGCCTGCACTTGAAGAAGGCCCACGTAACACATCCTGAACCGAACGCCACCTTTGGTCTGCTGACACTTGGGGTGAGAAGAGTCCTTTATCCCCACGATCTGCAACTTTAGCTACAGTGATCAAGGTAAATGGGAGCGAGTCGGGCCTCGTGACGCAAGGAGGCAAGGTCATTTGGGGTAAATATGTCGGGAAACCAGTAGTCCCGAAAACAAGGGGCGCATTGACAGATGTTTCATACAATAATTTCTTATACTGACTGAAGATGACAGACCAGTGAGGAAAACCATAGCTGTAAATACTGCTGAACAACTTTCACGACTGCGTTCATCAAGAGAACTATTTATTAAACTGTAGTTTGTTTGTTTGTATTTTAGGGAAGGATCTACAGGGTGTTCAGGGTCTCACTACTAGATCCTGTTTACAGCCTCCCAAGAGCTGGGATTACAGGTGCATGCCACCATGACTAGTCTTTAAATTGTAAAAACATTTTTTTTTAAAAAAAGATGATCTAACACAATGTCAGTGTTATGTAACTGGTTATCCTGCTGTATGGCTCAGGCAGTTAGAGCAAGAGAAAAACCTGAGGGTGTTCACAAGGGATGGGATGTATTTTCTGGATATATCTGATCCAAGCCTGGTTAAATCTGCTGATGCGAAAGCCCCAAACACAGGAAGCCTCCCAGGGAGCGGCCCTGGGGTGTGACATGACATTCAGTGGGTGCTCCAGAAATGTTTGTTCAAAGTTGCAAAAATAAAGTAGTGATCCCACAAGGTCTCAGATATTCTCAATGTTCATTTAAAAAATCGCTGAAGTGCAAAATTTTGTCTTGTGTATTTTGCCAGTGCCCTCCCCACACACACACCAGGAATGGAACGCAGGACATTGAGGTTTCCAGGCAGGCACTGTGCTGCTGAGCTATATCCCCAGCCTGCCAGTACTTGTTAAAACCGCAGCGAACATTGAATAAATGAACCCAGACACTGGGGTCTCATTATGCAGCTCGGACTCATAAGCTGCGTAGTGAGACCCTATACCAAACACAGAAATGGTGAAAAAATTGTTTTTGAGATAAGGTCATGCTAAATTGCTTATGTTGGCCTTGAACTTGTGATCTTCCAACCTTAGCCCTCCCCCCCAGCAGCGGGGATCACAGCAAGACAAGCCAACAAGTGTGCGGTATGTGGTGCTGGGGTTCAAATCCTGGTTCCTGCGCTTGCCTAAGCAAGTGCTTAGTCTGCTGAGCTATCTTGCCAGCCCTACATTTTTATCTTCTGTATAGTTTGCTGCAATAAAATAAATCAGGAAAAAACTTATTAAGATACAGTAAATGCTTGGCTGGGTGTGGTGGTGCCCACCTATACTTCCAACACTCGGGAGGCTGATGCAAGATGATTCCTTTGAGTTCAAGGCCAGCCTGAGATACACAGTCAGACCCTGTTTCAAAAAGCCAGCCAAGCAACCAACCAACCAACCAATCAACCAACCAACCAAAAATAAATGCATGTAGTGGTGATTGTATAACATGTATATTGCGTGAATCACACTTCAATTTTTAGAAATAAAAGGAACTAAGACACCTAATGAAAAAAAACAGTGTGATTTAAAGGAAGTGGCGGGCCAGGGAGATGGCTCAGTAGAATAAGCGCTTCCCTGGCAAGTGCAAGGGCCTGAGTTCAATCCCTGGTTGCACAAATAAATAAATAAATAATAAAGGAAGTGGCAAGTGAGATCTAAGTCTGTTAAAGTAGCAACGGTTAAGTATTAAAGCACATGGGTTCAATCCCCAGCCTGCCGTGCCGGCCCTGCATAGCACCGACTAAGACTGGATGTAGTAGCGAGCGCCTGTAATCCCGGTGCTTGGGAGGCTGAAAACAGGAGGATCACTACGAGTCCGATCTGTGTAGTGAGGCCCTGTAGACCCTGTACTAGTACTTTTTAAAAAAGTATTAAAGGACAGCTCGTATGGAGACAAAATGAATGAATGAAGAAATGAAGGAAGGGGGACAGGGTGATAGCTCAGTAGAATAAGAGCTTGCCTGGCAAGCACAAGATCCTGAGTTCAATCCCTGGTACCACCAAAATAAATAAATAAATAAATAAATAAATAACAAGAAATGAAGGAAGGGCTGCCCACACAAAACTTGCACATGATCTTCATAGCATTATTGTCACTAATAGCAGGGTGGGAACAACCCCAACGGCTACCCATGGGTGAAAGGGTGAACGTGCACGGCCCATCCACATGATGGACTGCTACTCAGCCACGAAGAAGAACGAAGCACTGACTCACTCTCCGGTGTGGATAGATTTTGAGGTTGTCACACACAGGGAAAGAGGCCAGACATAAAAGCCCACCTAAGTACATGAATCTGTCTGTAAGAAACATCCACAACTGGCAAATTCACAGGGACAGATGAAGACAGCCCTGTGCCTAGGGCTGGGGGCAAAGGGCATGTTACAAAGTACTAATGGAACAATAAGCTTGTCTTCTGGATGGTTAACAACCTAAGTTTGCAGACCAAAATTAGAGAAAAAGGAGGGATACAAGGAAAGCCAACATTTTGGCCCTAACCTTCTAAGGTCAATTAAGACTCAGGACATATAAGAACTTGTACTGTAACGTCATGTAACTCGGTAGTGTCCCAAATTTTCTGATCAAGGAGATTATGGGGCCAAAGAGGAAAGTGATCGATGATGTAGAGTGTGCCTAAGGAGAGTCACATGGAGAGAAAACATTCTCTCAGGCTTTCACAGAGAGCACATTGGCCACGCATGGACGTGACTCATCTACATGGCTGACACCGACAAAGGTTTTACAATCTGAGGTACAGGATCTCAGGATAAATCCTGAGGGGATTTCACTGACCTTCTCAGACCCAAAAGCTACAACTCTTGTTGCATAGGTCCTGCTTTACCTTGGTCTTAACCATCTAGTAGAAAACTATGAAGACTGTAATATAGGAAGTAAAGCCATGCTGTTATGTTGAGCTGTGGGGGACTCAGGTCAAGAATTTCTGACATTGCCGGTTAAACAGAAGACCCAATGCTATTACAGGCTACTGGACTCTTTTAGAATATTTTGCTGAATTTATACACCTATAATATTCAAATAACAGAACTTAACCAAAAAAGGGTATACAGATGAATGTCCATTTTGTATCTGTGTATTCAGAGTGGTTAGGATAGATAGTTACATTCTCTTAATGAATAGAATGATTTGTTCTAATGGTGTTTGTAAATAGGATCTCAAGTCTGCATCTTGTACAGCAATTAACCACTAAGAAGAATGTATGCAGTGCATTAATTATTGAAACTGTCCTACCAATTTGATTTGAAACTGTCTCATTGCTATTTCTTTATCAATAAAATTATGGGAAAAAAAACAACAAAGTACTAATGGATATGGGCTTCAACAGGGGTGTTTTAAACTTAAATTGCAATGGAGAGTGTATGACCATACAAATACTAAAAACCATGATTTTGTCGTTGATGTTGACTTGGGGCAGGATTTCATGATGTAGCCCAGCCTGGTTTTGAGTTCACAGCCATGCGTCACCGTGCCCAGCTCCGCGCCCCCCCCCCCCCCGTCACCTCTAACCTCAGCTTCTGGCCTCACCCACACACTGGCAGCTGCCAGGTCATCCTCCTGCCTCAGTCTCCTGAGTGCTGGGATCACAGGCGTGTGCCACTACAACTGGCCTTAAAAACTGACATTTTATTATGTGTGAAATTATGCATCAGTAAACATAATTTCTTTTTAAAGAATAACTACAGAAATGATAAAATCCTTCTCCAAAAAAGGACTTTGAGGCTGACCATCTCAGACAAGGCGACACGAGAGACTCCAGTACAGGGGCTCCCACGCGCTCAGTCAGACCCCACTCACACCCGCGGGGAATAGAGGCCGGGAACTCTCCAAGGTCCTGACCTCGCCCCCGCCCGCAGCCCCAGGCAGGCAACTGCCCACACTCGGTCTTGCTTCACGAGCCCTGTGGAGGCGGACAGGGAGGGGTGTCACGCTCCCAAGGTGCCTTGCTGGGCTACGAGAAGAGAGCAGAGGTGACGCCACAGGGAGGGTGGAAGAGGGGGCCAGGACCAAAGGTTCGGGATGGCCACAGGAGGCTGTGAGTCCAGCCTCGACTCACCCACGCAGTTCCTGCTGTCTGGACTCAGCTCGAAGCCTGTGCTGCACACACATCGGAAACTGCCCTCTGTGTTGACACAGTGGCCCAGGCGGCAGAGGCCACCGCTGGAGACACATTCATCCACATCTGGGGAGGAGGACAGTCAGCAGGGGCCCCAGTGCCTGTCCATCCCCGCATGCACAACCAGCCGTACCCACACATGCCGGCCTCGTGAGTGTGGCCTGAAAGCCCTGGTGGCAGCGGCACTGGTAGGAGCCAGGGGTGTTGATGCAGTCGCCTTGGTGGCAGGGGTTGCTGGTGCACTCGTCAATGTCTATGGGTAGAAGACCCTGAGTCCCGGCTCTGCCAGCTATGCCCACTCCGCACCTCGGCCACCGCTGCTCACCGATGCACTCGCTCCACACGTCCTGGGCATAACCCACACCGCACTCGCAGTGGTAGCCGGAAGGGGTGGGCACACAGCGGCCATGGAGGCACAGGCTGGGGGAGTGCCGGCAGACATCCACGGTCTGGTTCAAGGTTGCTGAGCCTGCAGACAGGGCTGATGGGGGCGCCGAAGCATCCTCAGAGCCCCCTGGCCCCTATTTACCCACAGACCCTATCATCTCCTGTGAGGCTGGGATCCCGCTCCTGTGCCACAGCTCTGTTGCCCAAGTCCAGAGTTACAACAGAGACTGAGACCCCAAGCCTAGCCCGGGTCCTCACTGTGAAGCCCCACAACGCCTAGGTCTAAGCTGCCTCTAATGCCCAGAGAGACCCAGACTCACGCTGGGGCTCAAATCCCAGATCCTGACTTTGAGGATCAGATTCCCACACAGCCCAACTCCAAGATGGGCACTAGAGCCACCAGGGCCCCCTGTGGTGCCAACACAGAAGATGCTCACAGGCCAGATGCAGAATGATGCACTGTTGGCATAGAACTGGAACAATAGCCCCCTTGGGCAGTTTCCCTTGATGCTGAGGGCGGAACTCAGGGCCTTTTGTGCGGTGCTACATCCCTGCCTCTTTCTGATTTTTTTATTTTGAGGGAGTGCCTCAGTCTCTAAGAGTGCTGGGCTGACAGATGTGTCCCTGCACAAGAATGAGCACACACACACACACACACACACACACACACACAGCCCCTCCGAGGCTTTAAATTGGCTCGGGGTGACTTGCAATACCTGATACAATGTACACACTGTGCACACAGTTGTGCTCTTGGATAACTGGGAGATGACAAGGGGAAAGGTCTGCACTCAGGCAATGCGCATGCAACTCTTTTTCCAAAAATATTTGCTACCCCAGCTTGGTTGGATCCAAGCACGGGGAACCCTCAGACAGAACTGATTGTACTTCATCCCCGCTGAAGGAGGAGCTAGGACAAGGGCACATCAACAACAAGGCTCAGGGCAAGTATCAAGAAACCAGACAGAAGGACAATTGTGTCCAAACATCAGAAAACCAACAGATAAAGGTCTCCTGTCCCTCAGGAACCCCCAGCATGCACAAGAGCACATGCACATCCCCCGGCCTGCCCCAAGCTCAGCTGCTTTGTGGTTTGGACCCCACCCAGTGGGCTTTGGACACCATGGCTTTCTCTTAACACCTTATGCAGTCGAAACTCCCGGTCGTGGTGGGCAGAGCCAGGTCCCCTGTGAGCTCAGTCAGTTTCCAGTTGCAGAGCCTCCCACGGTCCCTGGATCTCGACACCCTGTGTATCCCCGGCCCCTCAGAGGCTATAAGCACCCCCCACTGGTCATCTGTCTGTGTGGAGTACAGACCCTTGGTACACCTTCCTCTGCTGCTCTGCACATCCTGCTCGTATCATTGGATATACCAAGACTGGAAACAGCTCCCCCAAGACTCCCATCTGGTGACCCTACTGTCTAGGCCACATTCCCTACTCCATAGCACTGACCCCTCCTCTGTCTCAGCCCCTCCTCCTCTCCAGGCCCAGGCCTCACCCATGTGGGAATTAACAGGGCCCAGGCGGGGGACTCCACGCCCACTGGATCCATAGGGGCCATGTCTTGCAGGCCCCAGGGCAGGACCCCTGCTGTTGGACCGGAAGCCTGGGAAACCAGGGAAATGGCTCGCATGGGAAGACAGCGGCAGCCACGGCAGCAGCCCCTGGACACACAGCCGCTGGAATTCATCTACAGAGAAAAAGAGGTGGAGGCCAGGCCCTGGATCCCCTCCAGGGCACCCCAACTGTGAGCCCCAACTGTTACTTACCAGACCCTCTGTCTGGACACAGTTCTGGGGCGGAGCCAGCTGCCCAGCACTTGCCCCCAGTGCAGCAGCACTGCCTGCGAGTGTAGTGGCCAGCGAGGTCTGCAGCACAGCGACCCCCAAATAGGACTGAGAAGCAGGTGCCACCTCGGAGGTCTGCAACAGGGCCAGGGAGGGGCTGTCAGGACCAGGTAGGGGCCAAGGAAGCACTACTTGCTACACCTGGGTTCAAACCCCAGCAGCCATGTGTGAGGAGGGCACATGCCGGTCACCCCGAGCTCTTAGGAGGCTGAGGCAGGAGGCTCACAAATGCAAGCCCTGCCTGGGCAACACAGTAAGTTAGCATGTGGAGCTCAAGGTGAAGGCCCTGGGTTCAATCCCTAGTACCAGCAAAGGAAAAGAGCTGCACCACACTGCCTGTAGAATGGGCCTCCTTACCTACCTGTGCCTCTGTTTCCCTGTCATTAAAATGAAGATACTCCAAGCACCGACCCTCCCTCAGAAGAGTTTTCCAGCTCACATGGAAAACCTGGCACGCGGCTGATCTTCGCTTACTGTTATCGCTTACTTGCAAGCTTTCCAAATCATTGTAGGGAGGTAGATTTGGGCCTTTTCCAGACCAGCATTCCAACCTCCGAAGTTGGCTCTGATGCTGAACTCCCTGGTAACCAGGGATCCAACCACAGCAAGGATGACACCTCGGTGGGCAGGGGGTAGCCCAGCGAGAAATCAAACAGGAATGCCAAGATTAGTGTTCAAGGGCTAGCCTCGAACATTACAGGGGTGCCTAAGAGACTGTGAACTTGAGGTCCCAGAAAGCAGTGTGGTGGATTGACAACCACCACCCCTGGGGAGACTGAGGCAGAGGCTCCCTCTGTGTGAGAACCCTGGACACTGGGCTGCTTCCCAACAAGCCCCTGCATCCCAGGACGGGATGTGGTGGTCAGATTTCTCAGACTCTCACTTCAACAACGCTTATTTTTAATTTCAAACCTCACTAGTCTTGGCCAATGGCCCGAAGAGGAGAGACCCCGCCCTCCAGCCAGGAGGGTCCTGGAAGCCCTGGAAGCTGCCACTGTGAAACTGCTCCAGGGTTTCCACCTCCCTCCCAGGTGTGTGTGGGGGCGTCAGGTCTCCTCCCTCCCTCCCTCTGGGCATCCTGGCACACACGGGACTGGGCGGGACTGGGTCTGCCCACACGAGAAAAGGTCAACAAACTCTTCAAGGTCACCCAGCTGCAGTGTCTACAACCCCAGGGGAGCTAAGGAGCAGCTGCTGTCAAGTAGAGCAGCCAGATTATGTGAATTTTAATGGACAAGACCCTGTTGTGGCTTTCAGGGTCCACTGTGACCAAGGCCCTCCTTGATATCCTTGCCTCAACTTCCCCGGGTTCCTGGTCTCCTTGATTGCGTGTGTACTGTGCATCACGTAACAGCCACCTACAGATCACTCACAAATCGAGTTTGCTCAGTCCTTACCACCAACACCTGTGCTTAAAATTGCTATTATCCCCATTTTTTTATGGTTGAAGAAATTGAGGTACAGGAGGCGCTCAGGTTGGTCACCCAAGGTCACAGAGCCCAGGAACACCTCAGGAAGCAGCCAGAACTCAGGACTGTAACCAAAGCTCGTATCCAGAGGCAGCCAGACTTGGCTGGGATGCAGGCTTTGTTGTTCAGCAGCCGGGAGTCTAAGTGGGGGACTCGCCCACAAGGAACTGCCCTCCCCCAGTGCCGGCCATCATACCGCCCAGAGGTGGAGACCGACAAAATCTGGAGTTGGCTGCGACTGGCCAAAGTCCAAACACAATATTCCCAACCCTGCCTGGTACGTACGGCACAGCCTGAGGGGCCCTGGGTGATGCTGGGAAGTTGCCAAGCCCTCTCCCCTCTCCCCAGATAGGACCCGGCCCACCCTGCTCCAGCATCCGTATTTCCTGCCAGCTCTGTCAGCCCCAGGCAACTCCTACAGCTCCTGACAGCATGTGGAAACAGCAGATGGCGTTTCCCCTGCTGAGCACAGCAGGATGGGGGCCAGGACTGAGTCAGACCCCCTCACCAGGCTAGGGGCCTGGGGAGCTGGGTGTGGGCACTTCTCTGTTCTCAACTTATTGGGTTGACCTTTGCATCTAAGCCTCAGTTTGCCTGTCTTGAAAATGGAGTGAAGAGGGAGAAGATGACGAGTACTTAAGTCTTTGGAGGTGGAAAAGGGACAGAGACAGCAGTGGGAGACAAAAGCTTGACAAGTGGAAGAGAACAAAGACCAATGCTAGAGGATGGGGAAGGGGCATAGTTAAAAGGTCAGAGGGTCAGAGGAGGGGATAGAGATAAAAGCCAGAGGGTCAGCAGGGGGCATAGAGATGAAAGAGGGTCAGAGGGGAGGGCCTAGAGGTGAAAGCCTGAGGGTCAGACAGGAGCTGAGATAAAAGGAGGCAGAGGACACAGCTGAAAACCTGGGGCTGGGATGAAAGCCTGAGGGGCAGACAGGAGCAGAGAGATGAAAAGTAGACAGAGAAGACACAATTCAGAGCTAGAGGGCCAGACAGGGGCTTTGAGTTGAAAGCTGGAGTGGGGGTGGGGCATAGGGAGGGAGGCTAGAGAGAGGGAGGTAAAGAGTCAGAAAGACACAGACAGTCAAAAGTGGGCAGAAGGGCCGGGGAGCTGGCTCGGTGGAATAAGTGCTTCCCTGGCAAGCGCAAGGGCCTGGGTTCAATCCCCGGTTCCGCAAAAAAAAAAAAAAAAAAAAAAAAAGTGAGCAGAGACATCAAGGTCAAAGAGCCAGAGGGTGGGGATGGGACAGTGACCAGAAAGGAAGAGCCCCTAAGGGGCAGAGGCCAAGGCTGGGGCATGGCCTGGGGGTGAGTTGTGGAGCCAGGAGACCAAAACAGGAGAGTAGAGCGCTAAAGGGTACAGAGAAACAGGGTGGAAAGTCTCCCAGATTGAGGTCCACGGCAGCACAGAGGCTGATGGGTAGGGAGCCAGAGGTCCAGAAAGAGAGAGGGGCATAGAGAGCAGAGGGCTAGAGCGGCCAAGGACTAGCTGGTCAGACGCGGCTGGACAAGGGGTCTGGACGTCCCCACCCTGTCCCTCTTTAGCCCCCTCGCCCACCTCACCCAGGCAGTGGGTGCCGTCCAGGCTGCTGGTGAGGCCTGTGGGACAGGTGCACACGTAGCTCCCGACTGTGTTGGTGCAGTCGCCCCCGAAGCAGAGGCCCGGGATGCTGAGACACTCGTCCAGATCTGCACAGAAAGAGGCCGTCAGAGCTGGCCTGCGCCAGCCCAATCCTGCCACCTCTCTGCAGGGAAGTCAGGACCAGAGAAGTCCCAGGTCATCCTCCACCTTCACACTTCATGCCACTGAGCTGGTGTCCAGGCGGGCAGTGACACTCGAAGGAGCCCACAGTGCTGATGCAGCTGCCACCCTGGCACAGCCCAGGGAGGGCCTGGCACTCATCCACATCTGCAGAGAAGAGTCCAGCGAGGGAGTGAGAGGCCCGTCACGAGGAGGAACCAAGGCTTCCCAGGGGCTTTGTTCTCCGGGGGAACCCCAGGACTGACCTTGGCAGGCCCCTGTGTGGATATTGAGGAGGAAGCCACGGCGGCAGGGGTGTGGTTGTGGAGGGCAGAGCTGGCAAGGGAGACCCCAGGCCTGGCCCACGGTGGCACAGCACAGCTCTCTGGTGCAGATGAGACCGGTGAGCTGATGCCGACACCCCTCAGGGGGGCCCTGGCTAAAGCAGGGCCCTGTCCGGTAGTCTGTAGGGCACACAGATACAGACAGCTAGCCACAGACCCACTGGCCCCTCCGCATCAACGCTCCAGACTTTTCCCTGACTGCAAGTCGCCATTTGTGCTGTTCCCCCTTCCTAGATAGAATGCCTTCCTTCCCTTCCCTACCTAACGAGCTCTTACTCACTCCTTAAAGCTCTTTTACTTCAACACATTCCCCAGCTAATCCCCCAAAGCCTGGCTAGGGTTTCTTCGCTCACAAAGCTCAGCCTATGCCTGGACCAGTCCCCTCAAGCGGGGAGCTGGGGATCTGGGTCGCACTTGTGGCTTTGCAGAATCTCCCAGATTTTGGAGCACGGTTCTAGTTTCACAGTAGCACATCCTGGTACCCCAGGTCGCAGCCCAAGGCGCCCCCTCCCTCCAGGTCCCCTCCACGTGACTCCCGGTCTCCACCCAGCGAGTGTTTCCAATCATAAGACGGGCGCAGCACTGGAGGCCTCAGCCACGCCCACCCCGGGCCCTGGTGGGGAGGGGCCTCGGAGACCCCAAATCCCCCGCACGGCCCCACCCTTCTCCACCCTCTCGGGTTTGTTCTCCTCCGCCTCCGCGGGGCTCCCTTCCCGCCAGGACTTCCCTGCACCATGACATCACTGGCTCACTTCAGGTGACCCCACCCACTCAACCCAAGGGGCACTTTGAAGAGCCAAGGTTCAATAAAAGGGAATTTGCTGTCCCTCTGAGAGCCAGCTGAGGAGCCTTTCCTCCAGGAAGCCCTCCCTGGCTGCTCTTCCCCCAGCTCCCGCGTCTGCGGCCTTCCTGCACCACCCCGCGGCAGCGTCGAACCCCTGGGGTGCTGACTTTGTTTCCAGATCACTTATTCCTGCCTTTGGGACACAAGGCTCTTTCCCAGCGGGCTCCAACGTGGGGCCTTGCTCAGAGCCAGCGAGTAACAGATGTTTTGGAGAGCGGATGAGCAAACGGAAGACGTGTCCTCAGGCTGCCCCAGGGGCAGGACAGAGGCCAGCTGGACCTCGCAGGCCCGCAGTGTCTCGGTCCCTCCCCTCCCCTGGGCCCCTATCTCCCGGTCCTCGCAGTCAGTACCTCTCTCGCACTGAGGACCCAGGAAGCCGTATGCACAGGCGCAGTGGTTGGGCCCGATGCAGCGCCCCCCGTTGTGGCAGCCGTGGTCACAGATGGCTGCGGAGGGGGGACAGAGGCCGGTGACCAGGGGTCCCGCAGAAGCGGCAAGAACTGTGGCTGGTGCGAGCTGTCTTCACTCAGAGATCAGCCCAAATGACAAGGAGCTGATAACACTTCTGTCCCCTCTGGCCTCAGGTATTCCGGAAGGGAGGTCAGGATGGTAGGTAGCTGGCTGCAGACGCTGCCCCGGGGGATGCGTGGGGTGCAGGCCCCCCGGGTACTCAGGCTGTGCCTGTGTAGCCTCTCTGGCACAGACAGCTCTCCCCCCACCCCACCCCTGCAGCTGTCCCCATTCATGCAGCTTACCCTGCACCCTGACCCTACAGACTGGGAGGTTACACACGGGAAGCTGGAGCACGTGTGCCCAGCCCTGCGCCTGGATGAACGCGGGCATCCAGAAGCCTGAAGCCCGGTCCTCCGCCCCTGCAAAGCAGCTCACCTCGGCTCACCCCGCGGGGGGAGGGAGCGTCCTGTCTGCACAGGTGCGCGGGTTGGGGTGGGAGGAGAAGCCCTAGGGCAGGGCTGCCCACAGATAGCTGGGGAAGGAGGCAGGACAGCCAGGTCTTGGACCGGAGTGCTGTGACAGCCCCACTCAGGATGCCCTGGCAGACGGGGCATTGAGGTGGACCCTGAAGGGCAGGCAGGCACACACACAACACGCACACAACACACACACACGCACATGCACACACGCACATGCACACACTACGCATGCACATACAAGTCAGGGCGAGGCAGGTGATGTGACCCCAGCTCTGGGATTCTGCTCTGGCACCTAAGCTGGAGGGTCGGGTCCCCAGTGCGGGAGCCAGGGCCTCTCCTAGGAATGGATTCCTATTCCAGAGACAGAAATACAGTCCAGAAGCCAGGGAATGGGAAGACAGAGATAGAAAAAATGCAGAGAGATGGGGAGACCCAAAGAGACAGCTGCACAGAGACCATGGGAGGCTTAGGGCCAAGGACAGAGGCAGGGCGGCTGTCTGGGAGGTGGAGGCTGCAGGCAGGTTATGTCCACGTGCACACAGGGCTGAGCTTGCTGGTAGCTGGCAGCTGGGGCCCCTGGTCCAGAACCCACTGCGCCCACCTCCTGCAGGCACCAGCACTCACGCACAACACACTGGTTCCCGCCGGGCAGTGTCCTCCATCCGGGGCAGCAGTAGGCATGGAAGCGAGGGCCACACACGTGCGGTCTTCGGGGAGATTGTGACGTGACTGCTGAGCCTCTGCCCAGCCAAATGTCCCCAGGACCGTCCTCCAATCCCAGGGCAACCCAAGGCACTACGTACCCCTGCAGGATGCCGGGGCTGCCTCGCCTCCGCACACGTCCAACTCCTGCAGGCCCCACAGCCCTGTCCCAGTGGCCCTGGCCACCTGCCACGCAGGACAGCGCCACCCACACCAGCAGGAGCCAAGCCGGGTGTCCCTGGGCCATGTTGAGCCCTCTAGCCCCTCTCCTTGCTAAACAGGACTCTCCCAGGTCAGGACGTCCCCCTACAGACTGTGGAGAGGAAGCAGGGTCAGGGGTGGTGAACACAGGGCCAAGGGAACCAAGGGGAGGTGGCTGGGACCATGGGAGCTGGGGACACCTCTGGGCCTGGCTTGGGAGCACAGCAGTGAGGGCAGGCTTCTTGGAAGAGGTGTGGGGCCTCGATGCAAATAAGGGTGTTGGGACAGAGGGTGCACCCTAAGAACAGAAGCCAGAAGAGCATGGAGCAGGAGGGGAAGAGAAAGAGGACCTGCAAGGTGTCCCAAGAGTGGGCACAGCTGGGCTGTCAGCCTCCACTCAGCTGCCAAGGACAACAAGAGCCCTTGAGAAGCTTCAAGTGGGAGGCCCAGGAAGGCCTGTGGGGACCCCGGAAGCCAAAGGCGAGGGAGGTGGGTGGCTGGGCGTTTGGCACCAGGGCACAAAGACAGGCTGGTGTGGTCCAGCGAGGCCACTCCTGCAGTCGGCAGGGAAGGGACGGCTTCCACGTCCACTTCACGGATGGGCAAACCGAGGTCACCGCACCAACGGCGCAAAGTGGAGGGCGAAGGGATTGGGGCGACGCCCTCCGGCCACCAGGAAGCCAGGCTCTGTCCTAGGCAGGAAGAGAAAGAAGGCGCCTGCTGGGGCCCCTCTGGTCTGCTGCACACTTTAGGGAGCACAGAATGTCCGCCTGGGCGGACCGGCCGTGTGGCGCGGACACCACCTCTCCCGGCCCAGAACGCGCACTACAGAGCGTCCCAAACTTTCGGCAGCTTTGGAGCGTCGGTGGGACGGCAGTGGGCGTCCTTTCTCGCTCGTAAGCGGTCCCCGCTGCTCCGCGCTGGGCGCCTTCTCCGCGCCCGCTCGCCTTTCCTCCTCCCACTCCAGCAGGCCCGGGTTGGGGTCTCCAGCCTGGCCGAGTCGCCCCACACACTCCCCGGGCCGCCCCAGGGGTTTGTGCAATGAATGAGCCTGGTAGGCGCAAGTGGAGCGGAGGGCGGAGCGGGAGGAGCCTGTGGCCGGGTGCCCGAGGAGGGAGTGCCTGGGCTGCATCTCCACCCTGAGGGGCCCAGGACGCTGGACCCCAGGGTCGGCTCCGCCTTCACCGTGGGGATCAAGGCCCGCGCCTGGACCAGGGCCGAGCCGCTCCCGCCCCACGCAGGGTCCGCACGCAGAGGGACAAGGAGAGAGGAGGGGGCCGGGCCGGGGCTGCGGCTGCAAACAAAGGACTCCCCTCCAATCCCCTCCCCTCCCAACGACGCCCCCTCCTCTCCCCTTCCCCCTCCTTCCGGCCCGCGCGCTCCCGGACCGTGCTTTCCGTACCTGCGGGGCGCGCGCGTGGGGCTCCCGGCTCCTGCTGTCGTGTGGGGTCCACACTGCGGAGCGGCCCTGGGGCCGGGGCGGGAAGGCGGGGCGAGACCGACCCCACCGCTTGCTCCAGCCGGGAGTGGGCGCTGGAGGAGTTGGGGAGGAGGGCGCCTTTGCACCTCGGAGCAGGGGGGCTGCGATCCGGGGCGGGGCGGGGAGGCTGCGGCCGGCCAGGGAGGGCTCTAGGCTCCCGTGCAGCTCCGGGGGCTGCAGGGCGTGCGGGGGCTTTGGAAGGCGGTTGGGTTGGAGGTGGGAAGACGGGCCGGGCTGGTAGGGCCCCGGGCTCACCTGAGAGCTCCTCCAACACCCACTGCCTCCAGATCCACCTCCCTGGCTCAGCGGAGAGCCCACCCGGGGCCCCGAGTCTGGATCTGAGGCCGCCCCCGTATTGCAGGTGAAGTCTTGGGCCCAGAAAGATGCGCGGCGCGCGGAGAAGGAAGTTTCCGCGTGGTTCTCCTCCAGGTCTCAACAGGAAGAGAAGAATGTGGAGGATCCACACTGAACTCTCGCTTGAACCCGGGCGACTCCACCTGCCCAGGCCAGGCTTCCTGGAGGCAGCTCTTTGTCCGGAGTTCACCCGTTCGGCAGGAACTTCACTTCCCCGCCAGTTTCCCACCTGTGTGAATGGTCAGCACCCCCCAGGGGCCGAGCTGTTGCTTGGTCGGAAACTGTTTTCCTGTCCTGCAAACTCCTAAGCAGCTGACAGAACCCAGCTCAAAAAGCTCATCCTGGTTCTGGGGAGATAGCTCAATAGAATAAGGGCTTGCCTAGCAAGCTCGAAGGCCTGAGTTCAATCCCTGGTTCTGGAAAAAAAAAAAAAAAGCTCCTCTGGACCCCAAAATTGTTAGTTTGCCCAAATAGATTCCCAAAGCTGAACATGCCTCCATCACAACTTTTGGAAAGTGATGAAAAGGATAGAGAGGTTGGAGCCAGCACTTGAGTGTTTACAGCGTGTGAGATTGATGCTCAGTTTCATATCCAGGGCCTCCTTTAATCATCAGAAAATCCCCTGAGGGAGCCTGTTTATATTTTAAATGTTGAGACTTGCTAAATCACAGCCCAGGTTGGCCTGAAACTTGCAGGTGATGTTCCTGCCTCAGCCTCCCAGAGTCCTGGGATCACAGGTATACATGAGCCACTGCCCTATGCAGCGCGAAGATGCCGCTAAAATCCCCGTTGTAGCCCGCACAGTGCTGCGTGCCTGTGATTCCAGTTATTCAGGAGGCTGAGGCAGGACCTTGCTGGAACAATTTAGTGAGACTCCGTGAGGTGGACTGACAACTGGTGGTCAGTTTGTAGTACCCGGCTCAACCGAATCAGGGTGGTGCTGGGTGTGGGAGGCTGTCTGAGGATTGTTGCCAGCAAAACAGAAGAAGACAAAGAAGAAAGGCTGTAGGGAACTATTGGTTTTCTTAGAGGAGCTTGTCACGCTGGCTTTGGCATTGTCAGAGGAGCTGGGGACTTAACTGTCACTGAGGACGGCTGTGGTACTTTTTGGGGGAGCACTGATCCTTACTTTGAACATCGCTTCCTGGCTCCAGTGCAGCTCCCTCAGCTGCTAATTAGACCCTCCATCCGGCAGGCGCAGACTTCCTAGCTTCCACCACTGATCTTCGGGCCTGTCCTGCTCAGATCTGTGAAATGGGCCTGCGTGAGACACTGTCCTGGGCTCTAGGCCTTCAGCTGGACTTGTGGGAGACACTGTCCTGGGCTCTAGGCCTTCAGCTGGACTTGTGGGAGACACTGCCCTGGGCTCTAGGCCTTCAGCTGGACTTGTGGGAGACACTGCCCTGGGCTCTAGGCCTTCAGCTGGACTTGTGGGAGACACTGCCCTGGGCTCTAGGCCTCCAGCTGGACTTGTGGGAGACACTGCCCTGGGCTCTAGGCTTCCAGCTGGACTCACGCAGGACACTACTGTGGGACCCAGGCCCTCAGCTGGCGTCTTTGGTCTTTACTGTGTGGACAGGTTTCCTGCACTCTTTGCCATAAGACTCTTTGGGTTGACTACTACAAAATAATAATCTTACAAGGACTGGCCAAATAGCTCAGCAGATTAAAGCACCCACAAGCAAGCACAGGGGCCGGGGATTGGATCCATGGGCCTGCCATGCTGGCCGGGGCGTGCTGAGACGGCAAGTGAGACTGAGCGCGGTGGCGCCTGCCTGTAATCCCAGCTCTTGGGAGGCCGTAAACAGGCGGATCACCAGGAGTCCGATCTAGTAGTGAGACTCTGAAGACCCTGTAGACCCTTCCCTAAAATTAAAAAAAAAAAAAAAAATCTTATAATTAAGTGTCCTACACTGCATCTTTCCCTTTGCAAAACCCCAAATGAGGGGCCGGGGAGATGGCTCAGTAGAATAAGCATTTGCCTAGCAAGCTCAAGGGCCTGAGTCAATCCCTGGGTCCGCACACACACACAAAAAGGACAACACCTTGTCTCAAAATAAAATAAAATAGGGCTGGTGAGATGGCTCAGTGGTCTAAAGCACCTACTTGGAACAAGCTTGGCAAAGCACAGGGACCGCGGTTCAATCCCCCAGCACCACATGCCAG